AGAATAAAAAGCAGAGTTTTAAAAGTGAAAATAATTTTATTTTTTTTAAAGTTCCAGTCCACTAGAAAAACTACCTCCCTGAAACAGCCATTTCAGAATTAATTTTTGCTTATTTCTTAATTTGGGTCAGCATTTCATTGATAATAATCTCCAGACACAGTCATTTTCAGAAAGTTTCTCCTCTTCGACAAAGCCACTATTCCCCCATCATTACTGCAGCTGTCTAAACTCCTCAGGCCCGTCATCCTACTTGGCAAGAACCCTCAGAGATGAACATATTAACTCCACACCATGCTGGGAGAGAGCACTTGCCCTGCATTTTCTAGGCTGGCATGTTAGCATCCTGTTTGCTGGAATGTTTAAGAGCAATTGCCAAAAAGTGAATGGACTGTCTCATTAGTCCATCAGAGCACTGGGGGATAGGAAATCTACAAAAATTCAAAATACATACCTAACTACCAAGCACAAAGCAGAGGAAGCGCAGTAATGTGTTCAGGCTATAAGCCTTGGCAGAGACACCCGTCTGCCTCCATCATTATTTATCATCTGGGTCTCCAGTTACTTCGCTACCACAAGAGAGAAAAAAGAGCCATGGATTCAACTTGTACTGGCTTCAGAGACAACCCTATATACTTTAATACACTTCTTGGCCCACAATGTGAGTAGTCCTACCACAAAGGGAGGCTAGGAAATCTGAGAAAATAAGACCCACATTCGCTTGCTTGAAAGGCTGAAAGGCCCTCAATCATCCATGACCAGAGAGAACAGTATGCCCTTCTGTTGGCCAGAAGTGCCCACCCTCATCTTGTACAGACACTTGCAACTCTCCAGGGTACAGCCTCTCATGCCTGACAGGAGGTGATGCCAGACTTCTCAGAGAATACATTTATTAAGTTAAGAAGGACATCCATCCATTTTGGCACCAGTCTGTTCAATGCCATATTTTACATGTGAAACACTGTCTCATTAATAAGAAAAAGAAATACATCGGGAATGGCCAGCATGAGACAGACCAGCTCTTCAGGTCTGCAACTTAAACCAATCAGGACACGGCACGAAAAATGGCTTCGGTGTATCTGACTTGATGGTCGATGAAATGGCCTCAATCATATAAAACAATCTCTTCAGACTAGAGCTGATCTTGCAGATCTGTTTTACACTGAAGTACACCCCACATTTCATAAAGGATGATGACAATGTTATCAGCAAAGAAATCACTTCTGATAAAACCATATGGTCATGCATTGAAGTTCTTCTTTTTATGTTTTTCCTCCAAATGTATGCCTTTTGTGGAGCACATTCTCATAGTTATAGCAGTCGGGTGGCTTATAGAAGATTCAAGATCCAAGGTTAGAAAGAACATAGAGGAGCTACTATCTCTAAGGACTCCCATATACATTACTCACTCATTTGTCACACACTCTTTGAGCATGGCACTATTAGTCGTCTTCTTCAGAGAAGGATCTGGCCTCTTGCTTAGGAGCAGATAGCCAGCATATCACAGAGCTTAGATCTGCACCCATGCCTCTCCACTAGAAAAGCTGAGGGTAAAGAAGACTAGCTGTTTCTCCTTGTCAGATCTAAAAAGTTAGGGCTTGTTATAGACAAGATAAGAAAATAGTCTGCTTGTCTGGTGTGCTTTGTATCATCTCTATTTATGCTTTTTTACAAACTGGGTAAAACTAGGAATCTAGAGCCAACCTTAGGTCATGATGAAGAAAGGAAGAAACAATGCCTGTTGCCCAACTGTGTGTATGCAACGATACTAAAGAACATCATCATTTATAATGAGTCAGCACATGAACTTCCTGGAGCCCTCAGGGGGAAGCAGAAAAATGAATCCAGCACGACCCTCAAGATTTTAAACAACCTGTCAGTGTCACTTCTTGCTCAAACCTAATATACTACCTTTTCTCTCTGGCCTTTTGCACATCAAATGATCTTCGGGGTTCCAGAATTAGCTGGTGGCAGGGCAGGACTAGAACCCAGGTCTTCTGGTGGCAGGGCAGGACTAGAACCCAGGACTTCTAACTCCCCACTCTGTGCTCTTACCAATACACTACTGCCTGACATTTGTCAGCCACTCCTAACTGGATGCTTACTCAAAGCCAGGGTCAGCAGTGAATGCTTTACATGAATGATTTCATTTAATCTTCAGAATTAGCAACCTACAAGGTAAATAAGGAAACAGAAGTTCAGGAATATGAAGCAACTTCTCCAAGAGCCCACTGTGAGTAAGCAACAGAACTGGGATACGGCCCAGTGTCTCCAAAGCTAGGCTTCGTGTCTACATCAAATCACTTTTCTCTGCTCATTAAGTTTGGTGAAAATTGCAGGGTTCAAATGTCAACAACTGATATATCTGCTTATTGTGACAGTTTATTCCATCTACTTTACAAAAATAAATGTTTAGAGAAACAGATTTCAAGAGAAATGTGACACAATTAATCTTCCCTTTCCTGCCTCCTTGACACTGATCCTTGAGTTTTTCAGAATGGTAAAAAGCCTTTATCAGAGAGTGTGAATCTGCTTTTGAGATATAATTATGTGTTGGGGGCGGGGGGTGATTCAGGAGTAAGTAAAACACTTCTTTAAATAATGAAATTACAGTCCCAAATCTGGAACATCAGGTATGCCAGGCAATATCTGGGTGTTTGGATGTAGCGCCTCTGTTCCCAGATTGAGATACACCCGAGGTGGTTGGGGTGGCTCAGGCCAGCCCTGAGTTTCAGTGTTCATCACCGTCTGTATCTGTATTTTCAGTACTTCTCTTTTCATGTGTTAAGACTTAGAACATAACTCTTAAGAAACGTCTTGTGATCACTAAGAAGTAAGACTTGTTAATAGGTTTCTCAAAGTCACTTGCACTTAAAAAAAAAAAAAACCTCAGGATGACATCTTGGGGTACCTAATCCCACTTGAGAAGATCATTTAACCTCCTCAGATTGCAGTTGTATTATTAATAAAATGAGAGGCAATCTGAAGTTTTCTTTTTACCTAAAAAATACAGTACTATTACTGCTGATTAGATAAAGAAGTTTCAAAACCAACTCTTCTCCATTCTTTTTATTTGTTCCATCCTTTTCTTTTGTTTCAATTCTAGTTATTGCCATTCAACCTCAAACACTTTTATTCACAACTATTACCTTATAGGCACTTACATATCTACAAGTAGTAGCAAAGCAATTTTTTGTTACTCCAGGGAAATGCATCATCTTATTATGAATCAGGAGAATGCAATGCAGAGAGCATTCACATGGAATTAAGGCATGTACAATCTAAGCTAAGGAGGCATAGAGTGCATTAACATTATTTAATATTATTTAGAAACCACAAAGGCAGCTTTTAGGGAAGGGATTCTAAGTAGTTATTAATATAAACTCAAAATGAGAGCTTCTGGGAACATCTAAATTTTCGAGTCATAATCACAAGAAACCACAGCATGACGACCAACATTGTTTTACTAAAGCTAACAAATGCTTTGGTTATGATGCATATTTTTACTTCAAGAGAAGATATTTGCAAATGATGTATCTGATAAAGGGTTAATAGCCAGAGTATAGAGAGAACTTATACAACTCAACACCACAAAACACAACTCAATTAAAAGTAAACCAAAGACCTGCATAGTTATTTTTCCAAAGAAGATGACCAACAGACACATGAAAAGGTGCTCAACATCACTCATCATCAGGGGTATGCAAATCAAAACTACAATGTGATACACATTACACCTGTCAGGATGGCTAAAATAAAAAAGACAAGAAGTAATAAGTGTTGGCAAGGATTAGGGGAAAAAGGAACCCTTGTGTATTGTTGGTGGGGATTCAAACTGGTGCAGTCACTATGGAAAACAGTATGAAGGTTCCTCGAAGAATTAAAAATAGAAATATGGGATCCCTGGGTGGTGCAGTGGTTTAGCATTAGCACCTGCCTTTGGCCCAGGGCGCAATCCTGGAGACCCGGGATCGAATCCCACATCGGGCTCCCGGTGCATGGAGCCTACTTCTCCCTCTGCCTGTGTCTCTGCCTCTCTCTCTCTCTCTCTCTCTCTCTCTCTCTCTCTGTGACTATCATAAATAAATAAATAAATTTTAAAAAAATAAAAATAGAAATACTGTGTGATCCAGTAATCCCACTACTGGGTATTTACCCAAAGAAAACGAAAACATTAATCGAAAAGGATATAGGCATCTTGATGTTTACTGCAGATTATTTACAATAGCCAAGATATGGAAGCAATCCATATTGATAGATGACTGGATAAAGAAGAAATGGTGGGCACTCGTGTCGCATGTGCATGCACACATGCACAAATATTACACAGCCATGAAAAGGTTGAAGTCCTACTATTCGCAACAACATGGATGAACCTGGAGTGTATTTGTTAAGTGAAGTCAGACAGACAAAGACAGATACCCGATGATTTCATTTACATGTGTGGAATCTAAAAACCAAAACAAATGAATAAACAAACAAAAAGCAGAAAGAGACTTACAAAGAACAAATTTATGGTTGCCAGAAGGGAGGGGGAATGGAGGACAATCAAAATAGGTGAAGGGGAGTGGGAGATACAGGCTTTCAGTTAGGGAATGAATCAGTTATGGGAATAGAAGGCACAGCACTGGGAATACAGTCCATGATACTGTAACTGCGATGTGTCCGGATAGATATTAGCTACACTTGTGAGCACAGCCTACCAAACAGACTTGTCAAATCATTATGTTGTACACGTGAAACTAACATAACATCACGTGTCAATTTTACTTTAACAAAAAAAGAAGAAAAAGACAACGCATATATGCACTTTAGGTATGATCAAGAAGATCCTTTCTTTGCTCCTCTATTTAGAAAGGTGATCGAAGATAAGTTCATTTTAACACTTTTTTTCCACCCTCCCAAACTTTTAACATAGAAACAGTAATTAACCAATACATACGCAAGTTAAAGTTCTCCCTAGAATACTGGAATGACAGTAAAGAAATGTTTTTCTATTTTACCTGGGAAGAGCAGTGATTTTCCCCCATTTCTCCACGCAGAATCTTCTTGGGCCATTACTCCCTCGGAGAGAAGCAAATCCTTCATAGGGAATGCTGGATGTGCCCGTGACAAACTACCAACCCAAGAAAACAGAAGAACAAAGTGAATCGAGGAGACTAGCTGCCAAGGAACACATGGTATCACTCTCACGCAGGGCTCTTTGGGAAGAGCAGCAGGCTGCGTGCTGGTGGGAAAGCCAGAAGCGAAACTCCATGGGTGCGGAATACCCTAACACAAGGATTCTCTCAAAGACCTGGAGAACTCTAAGGGAGAGCAGTGCATTAAAAAGGGGGGTGGATGCAGAGGGTTTGTAGCAGATAAAGCATCCTGCTCAGGAGACTAAACTGGGTATATTTCCCATTAGAAATTAATAAAGTGGGTGTATCAATTAACCAAAGTCCACTTAGCATCAGTACCCACTCAATTTGAGGTGAACATATTTGAGGACCAAATCGTTAAACCAAAGGACCTAAGGCTTGGTCTACTCATGAGCCTGGGCCCGAGTATCCAGAAGGCCTACTCGTGTTTGATATTTCTTTGGCTGCAATAAACCAGCAATCGCTGTCTAATTATAAACACTACAAGAAAATAACAAGCTAGTTTTTCCAGTGTCCTTGAACTTCATTGTTATCCCAAGTTCGTGGAAAGTTAGATGGAAGAAAAGAAAGGATTCTTTATCAAAGACGTGGTCACTTCCTAAGGGATTAAAAGCCATCTTTCAGTTGCTATAGACGCTGCTCTGCAGAGTGCCCTGCGACCTCTTACTGAAGGGACAAAAGTGCCCTGAAGGCAGGTGGTTTTTCCTGGGATTCTTGGGCTGGAGTTGGTACTTCCTCAAAATTCTAAAGAAATGCTTGGACTTGGTTGAGGATGTTCTGCATAGTGAGGGAGCCACAGAACCATACAGTCAGAAGTAATAATGTATCCTGAAATAATGTATCCTGCATTTGCAGATAAGCATAGGGTATTTTTACTGAGGACTCAGCCAATGTTAAAAACATGCAATTCCAACAATAATGATATTAATGCATTAAAAAGATTAACTAATGGTATCTTACCTGTAACAACCTTAGTCGTTGTTCATTGTTGAATCTTTCCACTGCAGCCCAGAACCACCGAATTACAATATGATTGTCATGATATCCTATCAAACCAATGAGGAAAGCCCATATTACTTTAATTTTTCTATGTTAGGATGACATGACACCATGACATGCCAACAAAAGACCTCCAGACATAAATCATTATCTTGGATTCTTTACAGGTTGTTTATAATTTAAGACTAAGGAATAAGGCCTTAAACATGGTCACATGAGTGTCAAAATTCAAACAAAAACACTAACTGAAACTAGGAGGTCTCTGTTTCCATTTAGTGGTCGGTAAATAAAATAAGGGGAGAAAAGAACAACAAAGTTCTTATTTTAACTATCATTTCTGAAAAAGATAACTGCTGTTACTGGAAATGCTCAACTCTTTTGATCATTCATTTAAGAAATAATTTTCAAGTAGCACTATGCCAAACACTGTAGGAAGCTCGGAGGTAACAGAGGCAAAGAAAACAGACCCTTACAGGCCTTCTGGTAAAGGAGAGACCACTGATCAAGTAATTATACAAATAAATACATAAATGCAAGCTATTTTAAAATTGCATATGATGCTCATATTTTTAAATCAAAGTACTTTTTGTTAATACAAAGGAAAAAGTAATCTTATTCCTTTAATTTCTTCACCTAATAAATCCCGAATAATCATTAGCCTAAATGTCACTTCTATTCCATACTTTAGTAGGATTTAATAAAATGTCAGAAGTATCATCCCCGGGGTGGATTAAGGCAGTATTGTAGGTTTAAAAATCTTTCAGTGAAGAAAATTTGGGTTCAGAGAAAAGGCTGATGAAGATAAAGGTATGCTTAGTGATCTGAACCAAAAGTCTGACATGTGTAATGTGCATAAAGCCACTCTAATCTAAGTCAGCAGAATTAAGTCAAAGGTAGAAGGTGGGTATAAAAACTACCTTAATTTGAATTTTTGCTCCCATGTTTCAGTGGTTGTAGAATTTAGGGGGAATTTTGTGTTACTGTCTACCATTTGATCACTGATGCCTAGTGCCCTTTGGACAAGAAATGGATCCAAGGGAAGGGTAAATATAATTATACTAGACATGGTGATGTATAGAGTCCATGTCCATTTGGCAGAGACTATCTATAAAATAAGTACATTGGCTCTTCGCAGCTTTTCTGACCTTATGAATTGGCCCCTTTCTGTTTCTCCTTTGCTGTTTGTGCCAAACCTTCTGGAGGAGGTGAGCAGAAAATGTCCCCCCATATTCTCTATGAACAGCTGCCTTATGAGCATATGGTAAGTGGCAGCAGAGCCGCCTCTTCATTCAGTGCCAATGAGTCGGGTCAGCAAACAGCTGCGAATCTCACTCATTCCCCTCCCTCCGCACCTGGAGCACTTTCTTCCCAAGGATTTCACTTGGCAAGATTTACAATAACCATGGAAACAGGGACTTGATTAGACATATGCAGTGAATAAAAGTTTATAGTATATAAATACAAAAATGGCTGATTTGATTAATGACACTGCTATTAGAACCTCCTGGCGGGGAAGAGCTAATGATATTTATGGTAAGATGTAAGCTGTGTAGCTTGCTGGCGAAATTGTGTGCTAGTCAGTAAAGAGTTTGGTTAACAAAGTCATAGTGACCAAGGCTGTATATGGATTATACATGGGGCCAGTCGGAAAATATACATTGCAGCAATTGGTTTCAGAAACAGCAGCAAGAAAGACTGCAATTTAATACCGCCTTTCAGAAAAAATGGGCGAGCGAGGCCAGCCTACGGCAACAGCAATGAGCTAGAAGAGCCAAGAGCAGGCAAGATCAAAAGCAATTTAGTAAATGTTAAGGTATTTTTTTTCTCCATACTTAAAAAAAACAAGTTTTAAGATCTCTGTTTCCATTTACAGATCAGCTCTCAGTTTATCCTGCTAAGTGATTAATGCAGCGACTTCAAGTTTGTGTTTTCCACTCCCCAATTCAGAACTACTGCTAACCTTTCACATTCTGAGTTCGCTTCAAAACCAAAGACCACTGCCATTTGTCATGACTTTTTGAAAACGATCCCACTGCCATAAATTTCAGAAAATGTATCCTTTCTTTGCTTAAAATTATGAAATAAAACTTTAACTCTGGGTCATCGGGTCCCTTTCAAAGTGTATTGACTCAGCAATCAGATTTCAACAGCTTCAGGCCCAATTACCAATTGAAAATGTAGAGTGATCTACAGACACGCCACTTGTAAAGCTTCCCATGAGGTGAACTGCCATAGAATCCAGATCTTAACTAATCTACAGTAGTTTCCTTTTCAGTTGAACTTCATGCTTCAACGTGGAAGGGCCTGTTCAATAAACTTTTTGAATTCTGAGAACCATGTCTTATTCCATCTATGTGTTTCAACTGTGAATTATAGCTGGAAGTAGTTCAGTGAAATGTAGAAAAACTGCGGTTGCTCATCAGGATGCCCAGAGGGTGTGTCAATCTGGGTTTCAGAATGAAGGCAGAAGAAGTGGAGTTTGACCAGCTGGATGTGAGCTCCCTATGGCGCTTCACGAATAACTCTATAAAACAATTAATTAGTGTTCCTACGGTCACATTTCGTCACCAACAATTAAGGAGTTATGACATCCTTAGATGGGGTGTAAACAGTCCTTCCTCCACTTGAGAGATGAGGTAACTAGGAAAAGAAGGGAATGTACCTTGCCCAAGGTCTCAGAGGAGACTGCAGCAGACCTATGATTAGAATACAAAGTGCGTTGCCTGTCCTGGATTCAGACACTGGCATGCTAACCACGTGCTTCCCCTTAGAATCACACTTAAAGTCCAGCCATCTCTAAACTACATTTCACCTCCTCTATATTCTGTGTTGTTTCTCCAGTCACTCAGGTCGATTTCAGCTGTGCCTGCGATGACCAGTTCCAGTTCTCTTGCATCAAAAACAGACACCAGCCTGGCATCCACCACCTGCGGAATAAAAAGAATGCGGGCCATGGCTTATGAATCAGGAGAAATCTCAGCTATAATTAAGTCTCATCAGAAAAGGAGGGCTCAGGGAGGCTTAAGAGTACCACGGAAGTCCTCCATGTAGGCGCTTGGCAAACTGTAAAGCACTCTACAAATGTAAGGTATTTTTAGTACAAGATCCATGAGCTTTTCCTCCATAGAATTTTCATTTTAAAACTGACCCCTGACCTCCAGTTTGTATCTTCTCCTTTAAAAAAGATCTAGTGCTCTAGAGGAAGTCACATGGAGTATTTGTAACAACTCATTCGAACCCTCAGATACAATCATTTCACCTATCAAACATGAGATCTGATTACCCATATCAAAGCATGAGTAAGATGTATGACTTAAATGTTGCTCGTGGTCATTAAGTCACGAAATGCTATGTGAGTTCAGATCATTTTATTTCAGTGATCTCTTGTAACAGGGCAGTAAGCTTTTTCTGTGTGTTCCCGAAATATATAAAAAATATATTGGAGAGTTTACATTGAAAAAGCAATAGTAAATACAACAACAACAAAAAAGAGAAATATTGCATACAAAGTGCAGTAAGACAGACAGTGGTATCATAGAGATCAGCCTGCAAAACCCCACTCCTGCTAACTGTCTTTACCTCATAGAAGCCACGCACTAAGCTCTCCGTTTGCTGTACGACGCCCCTCTCAATCCTCCATTTCACCATCCTTTCAATGTACTCCTTCTTGTTCTTCTCTGTGACCGGGATATTGGCACCCCCTGGTTTTAATTCTCGTTCGGTAATCTGAGTTTAAAAAAAAAAAAAAAAAAAAAAAAAGGACTGAACACAAAGCAGCCCTCTTGATGTGATAAGAACACTGCTACCAACTAGCTGTCTCTGCCCTGGCCCGGGTGCATCCCACACGGTGCAGGGGGAGGCACCCCATGGAGCCACATGGAGCCCAGGCACACCAATGCTCAGGAATAAATAGGCATTGAGCTGACGTCTGAAAGCCTCAGTGGTTAAACATCTATATATTGCAAGTGCTAAAGGTTAAGGTTTAAATTCTGACTAAACAACTAAGTCTTAAGTAAGTCTTTTAAATGAAAATTAACTGGTTCCAGATTCTGGCTGCTGCTATTTGAATGTTGGGCAAAAACATACTTTCACAAATTCCGTTAGGGTTCAGAATCAACTACATATAGGAAGCCAACATTTAAGTAAAGATTTACTTTTATGAAGCAGAATGATATTTAGGTCAATGTTAAATGAGAACTTCTTTTCCAAAACATGAAATTCAGAGGACCAGCCAAATATTAATGTCTAAATAAGAATATTACTTATTAGCCAGTATACAATTTATGAAAGAAATTTTTTAACCAACCCTTCCTCCAACTTTGGAAAAAAAACCAGTATGTTTTCAAACCTTCATCATAACACTATTTACCTTCTTTCAGCTTCAAAACAATCAATTTCCATTCTTAAATATCAATGAGAGTTGAGTACAGCTGCCAATAAAATAATATTCAACTCTGGGGTAGCATGGATTTTTTTTTTTTTTAAGATTTTATATATTTAATCATGAGAGACAGAGAGAGAGAGAGGCAGAGACACAAGCAGACAGAGAAGCAGGCTCCATGCAGGGAGCCTGATGTGGGACTCAATCCCATGACTCAAGGATCACACTCTAGCCCCAAGGCAGGCGCTCAACCGCTGAGCCACCCAGGCATCCCTAGCATGGACTTTTAAAAGCTACATTTTATACAAGGCAATTCTAGTATCTTATGTGGATATTTTAGTTGGAAATAAAAAAGAAGATTGCTTGTAACACACAAATAGTTATATAGCTTATGACACACAGTTACCACAATCTGTAAATTAGAACACCTTAGTCTGCAGTTGTCATTAAAATAATCTCTGTAATCAATATTATTGTAACTGTACGTGAACCTGCGCTGAAACCATTCAACAAGCCAAAAATAAGTAAGTGTAGGATCTTAGCCACTAAATTAATTCTTTACCAATCAATAGCCTTTAATTACCACATTTAGTCACTGGTGATTCACATACACAGACCTGCCCAAAAACTTCTTCATTCACAGTGAATGTAAGGTCCAAGATGTCATGGATGTCATTGTCTTTCATCCACTGCAGGCTCTGGTGGAACTCTTCGTCAAGGTATTCTAGATCACTCAGGTCACACAGACTAAAATGACAAACAGAAATAAATATGTAGGTATGACTTCTAGCAAAATGCCAAAGACACAAGGAAAGATACTAAGAAGACAAGAACAAGATCAACTAAATAGACATTGATTCCTGGAATGCTTTTAGTCAAATTCAGTAACCAAACTCACTAAATAATTCAGAATCTGGTAGAAGATTTAACAATTTGGATACATAAAATGCCTTAAATCAGCCAGCCTGTCCTTTCTTTTATAGACACAGGACTGGGGTGCAAAGAATGGCTGCCATTTATCCAGTCATCCATGATTAATGCCAGAGCAGGAACTGGAACTCAGGTTGACAACTTGAGTCCCATATTCTTTTGGCTATGTTATACTACCTTAAAACATTGTTCTCCTAAACAGAAATATTCTGTATGTTTCTATACTACACTTTAACTTTGTTATTTTTTTTCAAAGACTAGACTCTGTGATCCACATATACATTTCCTTTTGCTTTTCAAGATTTTATTTATTTATTTGATGGAGAGCACAAGCAGGAGGAGCGGCAGGCGGCAGGGAGAGGGAGAACCAGGCTCCCCACTGACCAGGGAGCTGGATGCGGGGCTCCATCCCAGGATCCCAGGAACATGACCTGAACTGAAGGCAGATGCTTAACTGGCTGACCCACCCAGATGCCTCACACCCCCTTTTTCTGTATAGTTCTTATTCTTTCCAAGTTTCTGAAAACAGCAAGACACAGAATCTCTCTATAATTATAATGGTTTTCAGTACTTCTCTCTTCTTTCGTCATGGAGTGAGGTCTACATAAAGTGGAGTTAGTATTATATGGCCCTATTTTAAGGTGGTAACCACTGATTTACTTTAGTTGTTTTGAAATTTCCTCCCATCAGCCTAATTTCAAAGATCATTTTGTTTGGTTCAGTCTAAATATTTATTAGGCATCAAGTATGTGCCAGACATCTTAACAGCTACGTGATAAACAGTTGCTGCCATCAAGGAGCTAATGGTCTAAATGGGGAGACAGGTAAATTAATATAAGGTGGTGGTGATAGCCTAGGGTGGATAACATTTAAAATCTGCGTATTTTTTTGTGTATGTTACACTCTAATTAAAAAAAAAACGTAGATACAGGAAGCTCTCACAGCAAGAATGCAGGATGTTTACTTCAACTTGGAGATTCAGGAAAACCATTTTGGAGTAGAAAATATCTACATCAAAATTCAGAGCACTTTAAAAGCTAGAGAGGTAAAGGGGAATAGATGAAAAGGAGGAAAAGGGAAAAAGAAGGAAGGGAGAAGAAGAGACAAACACGAACAGAGCACAAGGGCATAGAATATGCAAAATACTCGAGCATACCACAAGACAGAATGTCCAGAGAAGGCTAGGAAGGCAGGTGGGATGAGGCTTTGAATATCATTTTAAGGAGCTTGGTGTTTCAGAGCTACTGAAAGATTTTAGGACAGGAAATGACAGGATCAGATGTGAGATGTGATTTTAAACTGTTCTCTGGAAGTCACATTATAGAGGATTACTTAAAATGGGGGTAGGGGTGGTTATCATTAGATGGTGGAGACAATTAGTAGACCACTATGGTAATTTGGCCAAAATAAGGTATAAGTTTTATTTTTAGGACATAGCTATTAAGGGTGGACAGAAGAAGATGAATTTAAGACTTGTTTGGGAGATAAATGTGGGCATTAGTAAATGGTTTTACTGGGATGGCATAAAGAGAGATATCAAAATAGGGGTGGTAAATGAACTCGTATTGCAAGCCAACTCTGATTAATTGCCAGTCTGAGGGCTGTAAGTTGAAAAAATTTCTCAGGCCACAACAAGTTCAGTGGGAAAAAAGTACCATAAATGATTTGTGAACTACATTCACTACAGTGGAGTTGGAGGGAGGGAAGAGCAGAATATGTGCTGTGTATCTGCCATCTCTGTTTGAGAGTGACTGCCAATTCCTGACCAGTGACCTGAGAATACTCGCACCACGAACTGTGACTAAGCACATGGGAGAAGGTACATTTTTAGGTTGAGCAAACGGATGAGTTTAGGGTTAACCATGTTGATTTGTGGATACCTGTGAGACGTGCAAGTGGAGACATTCAGCAGAATGCTGAGCACATGAACCCAAAACTTAAGGGGGATCAAGACTGAGGGTGCAGTTTTGAGCCAGTAGGAGATGAGATAGGTGTAGAGATTTCCCCATGAGATCACACAGGGATAGAAAGGCAGGGGACCAAGAATGGAAGCTCTGGGAACACTGAGGTTTAAGGGGAAGTCAGAGGAAAGGCCCACAAAGGACACATAAAAATAAAAGGAGGATCAGGAAAAAACAGGACCAGGGTCATCAGTGGAGGAAAGACTCAAAATAAATGGGTGGGGTTGGAGGTTGGGGCAGTCAACAGGATCAGAAGCACAGAATGGTCCAGTAGGATAAGGACTAAAAGATATTCTTTAGAAGCTTGTATAGGTTACTGGCAAGAAGGAAGCCAGGCTAAAGTGTGTTGAGGGTACATCAGCTACTTTTTCCAGAAGTTTGTATGAGAAGATGAGAGAAGGCAGTGAAATGGGAAGATGTAAAATGGAACAAGAGGAATCAGACAGGCAGATAGACTGCCCGGTTGCCCAGGGTTTCATGTGCCAGGCACTTAAAGAGAGGAAAGCAAAAAGTCTTCCTATGGACCCTCTTACGAGCCCATTAGAAATACTTTGCTTTCATTTGAAGTCTTCCATTTTACCAAAAGCAGGTACATGGCCTTGGTCAGGGAATGAGCTGGGTTGAACCCCACAATCACTCTGTGCTTCCTCACTGCAAGTTTGAGCTACTACTCCCCTACCAGACAATTGCCTTCTCCTCTTCAGCCTCGTAAATGACGACTGATTATAGGACAGAAACTGTTTGCTCTACATTTTACAGTAATTGCAATCTTTCATTGCAGTAACAATGAAGAAAAAGTTCTGTGAATGCTAAATTTTCATCTGCCATGATAAATTACTGTCTTGCATATAGGGAGGTCTCGAGAAAAATATAGGACAGCCCCCTTCTAACAAACAAAAAATAAGACAACAACAAAACAAAGGAGAATGAGAACTTGAACTGAAGTCTGCATAGAGCAAAATATAAAATGCTTCTCATCAAAGATTGGGGGCTGTGAGTCACCGAGACTAACCCACAACTATTCTATTAATAATTGGCATTAATACCACAGGAATTCCAGTACCATATTTGAAGTACAATTGATTTGAAGAAACATGTGTTGCAACAAATGAGAATAAATTTTCTGGAATAAAGCAAAACTAAGACTTTAGGGACAAGACAGAAATAAAGGACCAGGAAAAACACAGTAAGCATATTTGTAATTATATTAGTTTCAGAAACCTAAGCAGATAAATGACATCGACAGAAGGCCCTTTTTAATAAAAGAAATTTCATTCTTCCATGCTAATTACACAAGCAATAAAAATACTCTTACATTCTGAGAAGGGCTTTATAAAAGGGCCGTGTGAAGAAGGCATCCAACAAATACTGGTGTATTAGTGCGAGACCAAGGATCCTACCACTGAACCGGAACCTGTGAAAGAAAAGCATAAGACAGCTTATGCGTCATGGAGCAGTTTCTGAATGGTTGTATTTGCTTTCTAGAATGCCTTCTAGCCCTAATCATGCAAGTTTGTCTAGGCCTGATTATCTACTAGGTCCACGAGAGTTTGAGTGCATTGTCACCTGTGTCTTCATTAGGCCAATATTCACATCTAAGTGGAAAGCTCTGTTTCACTCTGATATTTAGAGAGATATTGCCCCACCTTCACCTCATGTTAGTCATGCCTACCCCGCAGCACCCCACATGGCCGACTTGAATTTCCCGTGAGCATGTCAGTGAAACTTCCCCAAGTCACTTCTAAGAGATGACAGAAGACCAGTGGTGGCAGGGAAAATGTCCCCGTCTAGTTTGCTTGCATGAATATTAGCAGGATTTCTCTAATACAAACCTAGTAGTAATCCCCTTTTGAGGAAAAGCCCAATCTCAGAATGAGAAAATTCCTATCCCTATTCTCTCTCAAACCCTACTCCTGATGAGGGTTGTCACCATCCAAGAGTTGTGCCTCTGGACATTTGGGGGAGTTTCCTCGTGGGACATTCTGTTCTCTAAAATTTCAAGGCTCGAGTCTATTCTGAATCACTCCGGAAACTTTACTAAATATATCGGTCATGACTGGATTTGCTGAGATGTACACTTATTTTCTCTTTCAAAAGGACACAGTTTTCTAACTCTTTGAAAATCGAATGCCTTCCAAAGGTATAAATCCACACTGAGGTTCATATAGTTCATTTGTAATTTTAGTATTAAGCAGCCCTTTTAAGATTAATGTCCAGTAGTTTTTTTTTCTTTATTTCCACCTAACTTAGCATAACTGCAATAGATGAGTTGAGGACTCCAAATTGTAGCTAAATGGAATTAATTTGAAGAGTAAGTCCTAAAAGTTAATGCCTTCCACCCACCAATAATACCCTTCATGAGCCAAGAAAGTTTTCCCATGAGTCCTGCTTATGTTCCTTTTTTTGTTGTTAAGATCATTGAAAATAAACAGGAACAAGCAAACACAGTTATAGAGATATTTAAAGCTTAGAAATGCAGGGATTAAAACAAAACATAAGGATGTTTGGAAAAAGTGTAATTTGGGATTTTTAGGATAAATAATCCCCAGAAGGGAATCCTATACAAGTTTTCCTTGATGGTTTTGTTTGGAAAAATTAGGAAAGGGGCAATCCCTGGTTGGGGTTGGGGTTTGGGGCAATCCCAAACTTCAATGGCTAATGGGATAAGTGCCGCTGCTGTGCCTCCGTAGCTGTGTCCTTCTGCTAGGGTTCTCTTCTACCATCAGTTCCTCCAGGGCACTCCACCCACCCTCCCTCCTACTAGGATACCATCAGCACCCTCAGTCAGTGTCCCAGCTGCTTTGCCCCACCCCCAGTGTTGGCCACTTCTCCAAGGGCTGCTCTAGAAGCTGCACAGCCTCTGGGGTCAAGACCTTTTTCCAACCCACCTCACAGCTCAGAGATGACCAAAGTTGTAGAGAGGGATCTAGGGATTTTGCCAGGAACCTAACATCATCTGGAACTTTCTTTCAACGGGAACCATCTTCTGAATTCAACCCAGCTAATTTAAAATTGGCCTTCTGGAATATAATCTATCCCTAGTTTGGAGAACTCCCGTATATTTAAATTTGACAAGAGAGTCCGATGAAACTGAAAATATGATCTTCCCCAAGGGAAAAAATGTTAAAAGAAATGTGGGTTCCTATAAAAACTCATTATCACAGAAAGTCAACTGAAGAAAAATGTTGGGGAAAAAATACTTACCATTCATGGTGATTGTCTACAAAAGCAGACATGGGACTTATCTGTACTGTGTATGTGTCATTGGCCGAATATTCAAATAAGCCATAATATGGGTTAAAGAGTTCTCTGGATACGAGGAAGAAAAACTCTCTGGAAGGTCCACTGTAATCCAGCCTTTAAAAATATCCACAAAAAGAATAACCAGTTATTATTATTTTTCTATATACTGGGCACATTTTCTATAGAGCTTAACTTTTTAAAATTTTTATTTATTTATTTTAGATAGAGAAAGAGAGAGAGGGAGCATGAGCAGGGGGAGGGGCAGAGGGTGAGGGACAGAGAGAGAATCATAAGCTGACTCCCCACTGAGACAGAACCCAGAGTGAGGCTTGATCTCACAACCCTGAGACCATGACCTGAGCTGAAATCAAAGAGTTGGATGCTTAACCCATGACCATTCAGGGGCCCCCAGAGCTCAACATTCTATAGAACACTCGATACAAGGCTAATTACCCACATAATGGGACTGTCCAAAAGTCAGGACTGAGTCCAGATCTCATCCATGTCTTGACCCAGAATAGTAAAACGGACATTTATATGAACCATGATCTAAACTAGAGCTACACATCAGATAATCAATAAAATAGGCAATATGCCAATAGTTTGCAGATATAAAAAGATAAATTATTTTCAATGTCTGGAGCGAGGTTATGGAGAAAGGAGTACATTGGGAATACTTTACTTAAACAGGGTAAAACCAGACACTATCAACTATCTACATCCACAGGACCCATGTCCTTATGGATTTCTGAAACATTTTGAAATGGGGGGAAGAGAAAAATACGAATTGGTGAGAGGACAGTAAAGATACAAGACCCCCTAGAGAGATCAGAGGCAAAAAAAAATGGAATGATAGGGTTCAAGCGAAAACTTTAAATTATAAAACACCAAGGAAAATTATAGACAAGCAAAATGAGGGCATCTAAAGCTTCCTAAAGGAAGGTATCTGGAGAAGAGTCTGAAACTCTAGCACCTGAACTGCAGTGTAAATTCCATTTAACTTACAAAGATATCGGGGTCAAAGTGAAGTATGAGAAACAACTGTGTTAGTTTTGAGGAATGACAAGTGGCCAAAAATGCTAAGAGCAAAAAATGCAGCAAAGAGGAGTTTGCAATAAAGCAATTTGATATGCTAAATTAAAATGGAAAATATAAAGTATATCTACCCCATGATGACAAGTCGACACATGGGTTCAAAGACAGGAGGGAATGCTGGAGGGGAATAAAAGCAAAGGGAAGCTGGGTGGTAGGATTTTATAAGACTTCTTTTGTTCGGTGTATTTTTTTTCCTGTTATGGCATTTTCTCCAAGGGCATTACCGCATTTTTTTTTTAAATAAAACAAAGAAAAATCATCTGAGTCTTGTCCAATGATGAGATTGTGTGATAGAGAAAAATGACCTTATTATAGGTGGAAGAGATGGGATATTGGTAAGAAAAATAAAATGCCTTTTATAGGTCTTCGCTGAGAGTTCCGAAGAATTTATTTAGAACATACTTCAGCTATCCACATTCTACTTTCTCAACTTTGCCATATCTGAATATACAGGTACTGTTAGGTACTTAACCTTTGGCATTAAATCAACTTTAAATTCACTTGCCTTTCCTCTGTAGCCTGTTCTTACATAATCTACGAAACCATGATGTGCTAGCTTTGTTTTTATCCTAATACACATTAAAAGAAAATACGTAAATATTTTTAAGATGTCAGTTTGCGTAACAGCTAAAATCATCTCACACATCTCCCGTCCTCACTGCATGTGGGAAAGACGAGAGTAGACAAGAAAGCTGTGTGTGCAGAAAAATGCAAACACAGCATACTCTCAGGGCCAAAGAGGCCTAGGGGGGCCCGACAGACCTGCTGTCTTGGGGCAGCTGCCTGGGACTGTGCTACCAGGTGACAACCAGCACCTGTGAGACTGTGCTAAGATCACCCTGGGGACTCCCGAAGCAGCCAGGGGACTGGTCCCAGGCACAGGGACACAGGCCGTCCCTCCGCAAGCCGAGGCCAAGGCAGTGGCCTGTGCTTTCCTCCCACTGTCCTACTTCTGGCCTCTGACGCCACCGAGGCTAAGTAGAAGACTTCCTCCATTCCAACGTTCTTCACATACTTAGAGGAGCTCTTTCGACAAACATTTGAGGGCCTGTTGTATTTGGAGTAATCACTGAGATGTAAAGCTACAACATTTTTTTCTTCGAAAAGTAATTTTCTGTAGGAACTCTAGGTTTAGCAGTTTCGGTCTCCCACGCCTCTGCCCACCCCTACTCCCACCCCACCCCCCCCCCCCCCCCGCCCCGAACACTGCCGTGTGTTTCAATCTCCAGGAAGGGCTGGGAATTCACTTGCCGCCCCGGCCCTCTGCTCTGGACACTCTCCAGGGTGTCAAAGTCTGACCGAAGGGGTGGCGTCTAATACTGATCACAACACTTCACGTGTGGTCCTGTCAGCCCAGAGCTCTTCCTGGACACTCTTTCTACTGATGCAGCTTAAAGCTACCTTGCCTATGGGGCAGCCGCTTGACTTCATTGACTCATGATGAGCTAGTCATTGCTCAGACCTTTCACCTGTGCTGCCTCACCCCAAGACTCTCTCCACCCTGTCTGCGGGTCACTGCATCTTTTTAGAACCTAAGGACTAGACTTTCTCCTACTAAATTTTACTTTGTGGGACGTAGTCCGCGTTCCAGTCTGTCCAGATCCCTGTGGATGCCAAGTGTCTCTCTAAATTTCCTACTGATGGTGAATTTCATCAGCAGACCCCTGTGTCTTTCCAGAAATGGAGAATGCCAATTAAAGGCATCTTGGAAGCCATTTTGTTCATCCACTCATTCTACTGAAGAAAAGACTGAGGCTGAAGGAAATCACTGACTTGGATCAAATGAAAGCAGCAGAGGAGACTCTAGGCCTTGACACAGGTTTCCTGACTCCACGTTTAATGCTCTTTACTCCTTAGAGCCTACTGGTCAGTACATTTTAAATGTTATCAAGACTGATAACAATGTTGCTTATGAAGAAGGGGTCAGCAAACTATGGCCTGTGGGCCAAATGTGGCCCAGCCCCTGGCTTTGTAAATAAAGTTTTATTGCACGTCATCTGTGGCTGCTTTCCTGCTCCAGCGGCAGAATGATGTAAGTACAGCAGGAGATGTATGGCCTGCCAAGCCTAAAAGATTCCCTATCTGGCCCTTCACAGAAAAAGTTTGCCAAAGCAGGATAGAAGAAAGTAGGAGGAAAATGCTACTTCATTAACATACCTGGCTTATTATAAATCCTCCTCTTTAGTGAAGATCCCTTCAAGGAAATACAAGGACTACAATATTGGGGGCGGGGGTGCAACTTCTAAGCAGGAGGCTGTCTGCAGCGGTCCCTGGCCGGCAGGGCTCAGACACAGTGAGGGCACACGATGCGTTAAGGGCCACAGACAGATGAAACATGAGCCAGTTTTCGGAGCCAGTTTTCTTACAAAGGGACACCCGGCATGAGTAAAATGGGTTTTTAGCTGCTTAAGATCACACTGTGGCATTCAGTTAGAAACAGTAGGTTTTCTCTGAGCTTCAACTCTCAGCGTTTGCATGATACTGCACTTACCAGAGTGCGTTATAATAACCTGCTTAGGCGTTTGCCTCCCCTATTGGCACCCCTAGGCTTTAACCATACTGAGGGCAGGGACTGTGTCTTTCTCATTTTTGTATCCCAAATAGTTTAGCCTGATACACCACAGGGGCTCGGCATCTATGGTTGGGTCTAGGAATGGAGCTCTCATGCTCTCTAAAGAAAAATCAACATGATTACGTTGTTAGTGGACATCTGGCAGAGTGAATAATTTTGTACAAGCTTGCCTTCAGGTGGTATATTGATTCATGACATTAATAGGTCGTGCCGATCCCTAAAAGACAACTCGATTTGTGCACACTTCAGGATTCACTCAGGTGAATTAGACTTAGAAAGTCTGGGTGTTTGTCCTTTCCAGGTCTAGCATCCTCTCATATGGTACAGTTGTTAAAACAACAAGGATGGATCCCACTGATTCATTCTTTATGATAAGAGCTGATTCTGGCTAAAGATGAGATGAATGTTCCCTGAAGTATTAAACTGAAAAGTAAAACTCCTTTTTTCCCCCCAAGAGAGAACAAAGCTAATAATAGTTCCTCTAGGAGGAAAATGGATCTTCTCTAACTAGTCAGGTTTTTATCTGCTTTTATTTTATTTTTTTAACACTAGCAGCATTGACGGATCCACTGTAAAGCCAAGACCGTTTTTAAAGTTTGATCTGATTATAATCCGAAGTTTAGAATGCATATCTGAGCCCAGGTTGTAGGTTACGAATTATGTATGTCCACCTACTTCAGTAAGACGTGTCCTGGCGGGGTAGGCGCCTCGTGCGTGTGCTGCCTGTAATAACTATGTCTTAGGAACCTCCTCCATATAAATAGTTAATATGACTCATATCACAGGGATCGTTTGTTACATTCCTGTTTTGCCAGTTAGGTTGGTTCCACAGCTAAAGGCTTGGCACAGAAATACAGAAACTGTGGACAATGGGTGTGTAGCCACACAACAGCTGCATCTGAGGGCATTCTGCAAGAAGCACAGATGTCGCAGGGGTGGCAGTGTAGTTCTGAGCCTGTTGAAGTGCTGATAAAGCATTTTAAGCACCATCAGGTTGCTGACCCACCACCACCACCCAAGTTGTCAGCAGTATCCGATACTTGTTAAGATAACTTTATAATTTTATCCTCTCGTTCTTTGTTTTCAACTAGAAATTACTGAAAAAGAAAGCATTCCAACGGAAGGAGACTATTGAAAGAAGGTGGCACTGGGAAGTCACACCATCGTTTCCTACCAGTTTTCTGGAAGACAGAATTGCGTTCTTTTTTTTTTTTTTTCAGAATTGCGTTCTTAATAGTTGGTTCAGGCACACATGACCACGCGCTCATCTCCTGATTCACCCTCAGATATTTATAGCAGCGAGCCAGGGGCTCCTGAGCCACTTAAGAAGGCCTGCTGGGCGAGTAAGGAGTTTTGCAAGCAATTACTATGACAAAGTTTTACCTGGTGATATCAAGCCAGAGCCTAGACACAGAAGCGCCCTTCCTCAGGAAGGTTTGGGTTATGGAGGTTATCCTGCAAATGTCTCTTTGTCGAAGGAAACAAGCAGCACCACAAAGTTTAAACTTGAAGCTTTACAGACTTCTGAGGAATAAATAGTCAAGGACCTCAGACAACTTCTAGAAAGGATTAGAGCAGTCACATGTAAGAGCTGCTGGTTATTTTACAAGCAGAGATGCAGGAAAATCATTTCAGATCTCATCCTCCTCATTACTTTCCTCTGCCTGTCTCGGGAGGACTCTCACAGGAGTTCATCTGCTCTTAAGCCCCTGATCGAAAACTGCTTGCACACATCCTCTCCCTGGTCTAAGTGTGGTTTTGCAAGACACATGATTGATGCCAATAGATGGCACCTTACATATAATGGACTCATTCTTTCTTGAAGAAAGACGCCTTTTACAGATTTGGCCATGGAAGGAAAAAAGAGGCGAGGCAATCACCGTATAAACATCCTCTCTTTATCCGGGCCATTATTTCCTCTCCGTTTGGGGTACTAAGAAGTTAATGGCCCAGGACCTTATCAGAACATGATAGTCTACCTACCAAACTCTTGATACCAAACAAGCTTTAGTTGCTAGGGCTTTTAACTGAGAAGAAAATAATATGCTGGAGAATATGCAGCGCCCTACTGGCCTCCTTCCTAAAGCAGCAGCTTCAGGCAGACAGAAGCCCAACAGAAAGGGGCAACCACAGCATGCGATTTCCCACCACATTCTGTCAAGATGACTCAGTTTCCAGCCATTCTGTCATTGCTGACCTCCTGTCCTCCCCACTTTGCCAGGGCAGATAATCAAATTAACTTGGGTGGGAAATGTAACGACTAGAAAAAAAACCCCTCCAGTTCTGACCAACTTACGTCACAGTAGTTTGCTTTAGAAACTGTCTACCAGGGATCCCTGGGTGGCGCAGCGGTTTGGCGCCTGCCTTTGGTAAGTAAAACCCTTTCTCTTTATGCCCTGACTTCTCTATTATAAATAAAGACCCTGATTATGACAGGTAGGAAATATAATCACTGAGGTAGTATCAATAAGAATTGCAAAGTATTATTCCCTCATAGATAATGTAAACTTGACAATAGTAACACAAAACAATACTCTGCAGATACACCACTACTCCTACTAATTTGGACTTTCCACAGAACTATTTCTATATAGTTATCATTCTACTGACCGAGTGCAGAAGAAAATACACCCATACTCAAAATTACCCTGGTGACACCCCCTCATCAGACAATAAGGAAATAAGAAAAAATTTGGGGAAACATTTCCTAAATCTCCCCAAATGCTGACTACATGCTTTCTGTTCATAAAGTTTTGTTTTAGAATAGTTTTTTACCTACAGAAAAGTTGCAAAGATAATATGGAGAATTCTTGTATACCTCATACCCAGTTTCCCTCTTATCCCATCTTACATTAGTATAGTACATTAGTTATAGTTAATTAACAGATATCGAGATATTACAACTAACTAAAATGCATAATTTATTCAGATTTCCTTAATTTTTACCTAATGTCCCTTTCCTGAAAACAGGATCTCATCCAAAATACCATATTTACATTTTTAAAATATTTTATTCATTTATTAATAAATAAATGTGACACAGAGAGACACAGAGAGAGGCAGAGACACAGGCAGAGGAAGAAGCAGGCTCCATGCAGGGAGCCGGATGCGGGACACGATCCCGGGTCTCCAGGATCACATCCTGGGCTGAAGGTGGTGCTAAACCGCTGAGCCACCCAGGGATCTCTCCCCCCACCCCATATTTACATCTAATTGTCATGTTTTTTAAGGCTTCTCTTGGCTGTGCCAGTTTCTCAGACTTTCCCTGTTTTTGATGACCTTTATGGTTTTAAGGAGCACCAATAAGCCATCTTTCAGGATGTCCCTCCCTTTGGATTTACCTGATGTTCTTCTTTCGAATAGACTGACATTATGGGTTTTTGGGACAAAGACTGTGGAGATCAAGTGTCATTTTCATCACATCATAGGAAGGATCCATACTATTAGCATGATATATGACTCTTGATCTTAACCTTGATCATCTGGCTGAGTATTTGTCAGTCATTTCCATTCTGGACTTACTTCTTTTTCCCCTTCTCAAACTATACTACTGGAAGAAAGTCATTATATGTAACCTACAATTAAGGAGTGAGGAATTATGCTGAATTATATGGAAATCTTCTGCACAGGAGACTGGTCTACTCTTTATTCAATCACATATTTATATCAGTACAGATATTTATTTTATACTTTGGGTTATAATTCTATCCTACTTTATTTTGTTGCTTGGAGAATTCCAGTGTTGGCCCCTGGGAGACCTTTCAGTAGGCTCTTGAGTCCCTCCGACATACCCCCATCATTGTGGACATTTTGAGCACCTCTTTGCTTTCTGGCTCTATAAGATACCTCAAGCTCCATCTCGTATATTTCCTGCTGCATCCGAGAATCAGCCATTTCTCCAAGGACTCTAGTTCCTTTTATTGAGGAATATTAGAAACCAAGATCTAGCCACTGGGTGCACACTGCTTTTAAGCACCTAATTAGAACTAGATGTGAAGAACTTAGAAAATGACACATTTTGTGAGCATTAAAATTAATGAAGGGAAAGTGACAGAAACTTTCAGCTCCACATTTATATTTCCATAGAAAAATGTAGGTAGATTTTCGCTTTGGATATTTATTATAATCCAGAAAGAAATGTTGTGATTTTTAATTTTAACACAATTGAATCAATGTGTTTGAGAAGGTGGCAAAGTCTAAAATAGCTTCTTAATTTTATGCTGTTTTGAGGTTTCTATTTTTTCGTCAAGAGTGCTATTTTATTCTTTCAAAACAGTGCAGGTATTCTCAATGCCTTAGTAGCAAAATGAAGTCTCTATCTAATAATCTCTATGTATGATAATGACATGATAAAGCCATGAGACCAGAAATTATTTGGCCCTATTACTCTAGTGTCAATAAACCATACACAGAGGGGCTTGGTTATGAATGTTTCTGATGGCTGACATCACAATTCAAAATGCCTCCCCCTTTTGTTTTCCCTCTAGGGTTACAGCTAGGAGACAGGTGATGGAAACAGGAAAAAGGAAACATTTGGACATTAGTGGCAATCAGAAGTATCAAGCCACACTCAGCCTAGGAACAGATGTCAGTAGTCCAGACCACAGGGCGACTACTTGAGGATGATCAAGCATGATAAGCATCTGCTCTATTCAAACTTAAGTACCAGGGCCTCCAAATACTCTTGCTTACATCTCTGAGATTTCAACAAACTGCAGTCCAAAGAAGAAGGAAGGCAGCTGGAGTTCTGGAGGAGGAAAAGCATTCTCATCCAAATGAGACTGGTTATGTAAGGAAATATTTGGAATTCCACGCACACCTATGATGAGGCTTAAAACATTTGCCTTCATTTTCAACTGTGCACCTGCATCCTAACCAACTAACAAAGGTAAAAGTCCATTAATGTCCTTCAGTAACAAAAACAAGTCTTCTCCCCAAATTTTGTCACCTCATATTGTTTTCCCAGATATTTTACTTTAATCTAGTCACAGCTGGGAGACCATACTCAGAATACATAACAAGAGCATGGTTATCAATCAGCTGAAATAGTGAAAAAAAATCCATGGGTAGGAAAAAATTCTCATAGACCAGAGTTCAGCAGTTTTGCCTTCATCCTAATGCTGGTCCAAGGATCCTGGATGACAGGCCTAGATTTGAATCCCCATTCTGCTGTTATCTAGTTCCATTAGCACTTGCAAATTACTTTATACACTGGAGCCTCCAAATTAACTGCATATTGAATGGCTGAATTTGTTGGATATTACTACCATGTGTCTATAACCTAATACACTTTCTTCCTCGGTGGGGCTGAGAAGGGTAGCTTTAAAATGATCCAAGTCGACAGAGTCGAGAGGACAACCCCAATTCAGGCCATCGTGTGGTGCTTTTAAAATTTGCTCTAGTGTTGGCTGGGTTGCAAAGAAGGTACTGAGACTGGAAACTCAGGCCTGATATGAGGAAGGAGGAAGGGCTCTGGAGAAGACGGGAGCTGTCACCTTCCGAAGTGTTATATAACAACGGTTATGTTTATTTGGATTAATAAACAGTGCGCAGGAGTCTTTACTCTTTCATTTCTGAGCCCATATCTCCATGGGCACACTCACAGAAGAGTCACAGAAGGCTAGAGATGCTCATTTATGTCAGTTTATTATTTTGGTAGGTGTGCTGTTGTCCCCAGAAAAGGAGAAAAACCGGCAACAGTGAAATAAGAAGCAAAGCCCAGGAGTTACCTCTACAGAAGCTTCCTGGTAAAACATCAGGATTCTCATTTGTGATTCTGAAACTGAGCGTATTTAACAGGTGAAGCGCTTGCTACTTACGCCCGGTGCAGATAACACCGTCACAGACGTGAGATTTCAATGCTTGTTTTTTACCCCTCATGGCCCCACATTTCCCTTTAAAAAAGAGATGCAGAGAGAAGAAACCAGACCAAACTTCTGCTCTCAAAAATGATCTATAGTTACAAGTGTTTACTAAAGAATGTCCAGGTCAAATGATTTAAAAACCAGAGGAAGCTTAAAAAAAAAGAAAGAAAGAAAAGAAAAGAAAAGAAAAGAAAAGAAAAGAAAAGAAAAGAAAAGATAAGAAAAGAAAAGAAAAGAAAAGAAAAACGGAAAGATTTAAGTGTATAAGAATGGCATTTCCTGCCAGAAGGGTTTCCTGTTTCAGGCCGCAGCGCCCATGTGGTGACACATCCCCTCTGCAGCCGCAGCCTGCGTTCCACACGCCACTTCTCTGTTCTACTCACCCTTCCTCCCCAACGAACGTGACGTACAGCTTATTTCTCTGCAAGTCTTTTCTGGAGTAGCCCATAATCTGATTGAAAGCATCTTCTAGTAAGTGGTCTCTTCTGATAATTAACCTGTCCATAAAAAGACAATTTGAAAAACAGATTATTTCCTAATCCTTATCTTTTTAGAACTGGGTACTTTTGATTCCATTTTCATTTACCATAGTTCACTAGGTGAAAACTGCAGTGACTTAATACACTGCTGGCCGCAATACTGCGCATTTGTCTTGAACTCTTACGAGGAGAAGTAAAAATGACATAAGCAGATTGTTGGTAAGCAGAGCACTCTGCCCACGACATATAAAAACAACTCCTGAGTCCTTTCTGAATGGTCAAATCACCTTATCCCACAAGGAAGATGATTGTAGAACAACACAAACACAAAATTTTTGCTTAATGGAAGAAAGACAACTCTATGAGGTAATGTTTTAAGCGTGAATGCACCTACACAAGGAATTCAATTACTAAGGATGCAGAGAGATGACTGTGAGAACCAGGAAAGGAAAATAAACTCTCCGTGTTCTTCAAAGCAGACACATTTATGACTGTGCTTAATTTAATTTTTAAATTAAGTGAATTTGAGATTTCCCCAAGTGACAGATACAAATGAATGATACTTGTGGCCAATTAATCTACTTGAAAAGCATCCTGAAGCAGATATCAATATGCCTTTAGTGCAAATAGTGATGGAAAGGGAGATGATAGGGAGGGTGGACACAGGGAAGCCTGGGCTCAAGACTTCCTTTTTTAAAAAAAAAAAAAAAAAAAAAAAAGTAGGGTCCATGCTGGGCATGGAGCTCAACATTGCACTTGAATTCATGACTGTGAGATCATGATCTGAGCTGAAATCAAGAGTCGGATGCTTAACTGACTGAGCCACCCAGGGGCCCCTCAAGACCTTCCTGAGTGATGCATGAGAAGGGCGAAGCCTAGAGAGGTGAGGTATTTGGGCAGCTGATGTGTGTTGTGGGTGAGGAAAGTGGGACCTTTGAATATACTTGAGCCACAGCCCTCTCTGGGTCTGTGGTGTGGCAGTGGAGACCCTTCTTCCTCTGCCTCTCTCAGGTGGCACAGTGATCTCTAGTGGGCACACGGGGCAGCGGTGGAGGAGGGGATGACGTTTAAATATCGTCATTTGAAGGTGGGTAAAGCAAGGCAGAAATAACACTCATGACATACTTCACTGGACAAGTGAAGCTTATTTCACAGAACAAAACAGAGCTGAGCAGTGTTCCTGCACTCAGGTCAGGTCAGATGACAGTGATGGGCCTGGTGTGTAGTACAGGACATGGTGCCAGCCTTTTACCTAATAAATACACTGTAAGGGAACAAAGAGGCATTTTTCAGGAGAAACAAATCAGCTTTTTACTTTGACTATATTTTTTTATGGAATTCGGTGTTTGTTTTAAAACCTTAAGCTCAATGGTGCCTAATTCCAGAACTCCGTCTTAGAGGATCCTGCAGTTTGTACATGCCAAAATTATTACACCGATTAAAACAACGGCTGGTCGTCCCAAGCCACAATCAATTTTCTACATTTCCCAACTGCATCCCAGCCCTTCACCATCACACAATCCACAACTCTGTATCGCTCTGACTTACTTTAATTTCCCTGGGCCTTGTCCGTATCCTTTCGTCTCTAACTTCCTGTAAAAGTTCCTTAGTTTGGCTTCAAAGTCCCGCTTGTAAGGGGCTGGAGCCCGGGCATTGGCACGCTGAGTACCTATAGCAAAGCACAAAAAGAGAAGGGTCCGGATTTGTGCAATGTCCTGATGCTCATCACATCCCCATGGGGAAAAAAAAAAAAGAAAGAAATACTGCCAGGGGCTGAGACCACAGTCAACAAGTAAAGGGAGGCAATCCTTTTAGTGCCCTCGCTTTTCACCTCCCCACGCTGAAGGCTCTAACAGAGCTGAGCCAGTCTTGGGATATTTCTGTGTGGCATTTTGGTCGAGAATAACAATCCTGTTTGCACAGTTACGATGGTGTCCATATGAGTGTCAGAGAGGTTTCCCTTTTTAATCCAAACTAATATGAGTCCAACAGAGTTACTCATGTCTAATGGGAACTGTCAGGGTGGAACATCTCTGCTGAGATGATCTCACGGCAATGAGACGGGAAGTCACAATGTGAAAGCCTGTGCTGTATAAAGCAAGAACAGTGAGTTTACAGACTTTGCCTTATGAAAAGTGTACAAAATGTCTTTTATTTTTTTTTCAAAATGTCTTTTAGATATGCAGCATAAGAGTTCTTTTAGACTTGCAATCACATACATTTTATACTGCAGGGTAGAACCATGTTGCTACAAACAAAGAGCCCAGACATAACTGTAGACTCACATGTTTCCTGGCTGCACAAAGAATAAATAATACTGCTATTTGTTGTGCTCTTAATATGTGCCAAGTGCTGGGATCATCCACAGATGACCTAAAGATGTTTCATATGTCATCCAACGGTAAGTTTCATTAATAAAATGTAAAAGTAACAGCTTGTTCCTCTTTCTGGAGAAAAGTCTAGCTTTGTACCACAAGGTGACTAACCGACCAACTGGGACAAAAAAAAAAAAATTGATGATAAATATGAGAATCACACGCAGAGCCATGAAAAAACAATGGACATTTCCATGAAATATTTCACAACACAATAAAAGGAACCGGAAAACAAAAGTTGTGAAGTCTCGAGCACTACATACCATATAAGTTCATTAAATGTTTCTTTAAAGAGCCAACTGATAATTTTTTTTTTTTTTTTTTTTTTTTTTTTTTTTGCTAACGCCGTGTTAGGTTCAGCAACATATGCTCAAAATGAATAAGATGGGATTGCTGAAGTAGATATTTCGGTTAGGAAGACAGAAATAAAACCTATCAAACAATTCGATAAACAATTAAGTCCTAAACTAGGTGGTGAACAAACTAGAGGGCATAGGGGACGAAACTATAGCCTTGGGGCTGTACCCAGCCCTAATGATCTGTTTTGCTTGGCATACAATTGTTTTTTAAAGATTTTAAATTAACTTCCCGCATTTAAAAGTTAGGAGATTTCAAGTAAAACACAAAACAAAACAAATTTTCTCTTGAAAATTATTTGGAAACTCTTGTGACAACTGGCTTGCATTTTTCTTGAGACCACAGTGGGCTGCTGCTCCATTAAGTGAAGCCTGTGCCGCCACCACTCGATGATACTGATGCCTGGCCCCCACCTCGGTCTTTGCATTTGGGATCAGGGTTCCAGAAAAGTAGCCGCAAATGAGGATAAGTAGAGATCAAGATGGAAAAGACTGCCAGGAGGAGACTTTATTGGAGGCAGCCCTTGTACACAGAAGAGAATCTCGAGTGTCTCCTGGGGCAGCGCAGCAAGAGCTGGGAGCAGCACCACACGCATGTTTGGAAGACACTCAAGAGACCCCGCTAACCTAGAGCATGGGAGAGTGCTGGGGACTAACTGGGAAATTTAATCAGATGGTCAGAGCCAAATTATGGGAGGAATTTAAGAAAAACCCTCGCTGAGGAGTTAGGGCTTGGTGCAGTGAGTGGTGGGGAAGACTTCAGAGGTTCCTGAACTAGGGGGTAACACCCACGTGGTGCTTTGTAAAGCCCAGGCTTTCCGAGTGTGGTGGGTGGACTCAGAGTAGGACGGAGAGGAGGGATCTTAAGGAGGGGACTGGCTGGGAGTCACCATGGCCCTTGGAGGCCTGAGGTAACAGTGGTGACTCAGAGAAGCATTTATAATGTGAAATAAGAATTGCCAACAGATAATAAGTAAGGAAGAGACCTGGGGAGCTCGGATAGTAACATCAAACTTCTAAACAGTAACTGTCATTTGTTAAGTGCCGGCTATGCATATGGAACCATGCATCGCAGAGAGGATCTTGGGAAATCCTCACAAGTTTACGCAGCAGGCATTATTATCATCACCACCATCACCACTTCGTCACTAGGGAAACAGAAGTCATATGCCAGTGAATGGTAGCTTTGGGATTTGGGCCAGGCCTATGTGGCGCTGAAAGCAGTGTGGGAAACGCTGGCGGACAGGGGGCACGTGAAGCTTTACACGTATCGTGCTGGAGATGAGAGCTGCCCAGGTGGCTATCCTCCACTTGAGGACACAGTCCTGGAGTTCCTGTGAGATCAGCGCCACACCCCGCATTAAACGAGTTAGTGTATGTCGCAGGGCGCTTTGTGAGGCGCCTTTGCTTAAGTGTTAGCTGTTACTGTTATTATCTGCAGAGAGATGAGTACTAACGACATAGGGAAATGTCTTGGGGTGTTAAGAATGGATTTTAGTAAAAGTGGCTATTAATCAATGACATATCCAGAGGTCTGTTTGCACGTTTATGAGTCTTTTACCCAAAGAGCGAAGACCTATGTCATAAAGGAAACAAACTTGATCTTAAAAGCTCTAGGATATAGAAGAGACTCCTAAGTAGTGGTTCTCACTCCTGACTGCACATGGGAATCACTTAAGAAGCTTTAAAAAAAATCCCAATGTTCAGGACACACCCAAGACCTATTACATCAGAATCTGGGGGTGGGGCCCAAGCATACATGTTTTATGCAGCTCCCCAGATGACTCCAATTTGCAGCCAAGGTTGAGAACCATTATCCCCTACAGGAAGGTCAAATGTGCCCAATGAAACATCTGGGGAGCATCCAGAGGCCAACACAGAGGCAATGCTTCCCGCGAAAGGAATCATTTGCAACATGCGGGATCATGATTTCCAAGAGCACAGGGCCATACTCTTGGACGGCTAAGGGACATGGCAGGGCAGCACAGGCCCACTCGGGTAGCAGAATGAAGCTGGTGCCACAGTTTGAGAAACTGTAGGCTAGTAAACCCAGACAGCTCAGAAAGCAGTCATCGTGAATCAGCTTCCAAGAGCACAATCACTAGTAGGTAGGAGGAAAAAGAAAAACAAGAGACTGAATGAAAATATTTCAGGACTCAAAAGAAACATGATTCAAAAGCTGACTGCTTTTAAAAAGGCACATATACTCTTACTGTATAATTGGAGAGGTTTAAAAGGATGCGGGAAATGCCATAATGCATTCCATCAGTATCAATATGGACACTTAATAAAAATTAGTTCTGACTCCATTTATACTCTAAGTTGAAGAGACTCAATTACAGGGACTCTGGAGACAGAAATTGTTAAATGCAAAAATTCTTTTGCTAATGGTTCTATTATGGAAAAAAATCATTTACACATTACTTCATGGTTTAAAAATTACAATAAATTATGCTGTTGGCGCTTGTCAAGCTCTTAATGCAAGTTAGGTGCCCTGCCAAGAAATTCCAGGGCAGGAATGATGTTACTTCCACTTTAGAAATAAAAAATGATCTTGGAAGATTGAGCTAATAGAATCGTTTGGGAACCGTAACTGCAAGCAAAGTTCTAGGATACAATACTCCTATAGAGAAAGTAAAGTAACTTTATGGTCTTAAAAAAGGAAGTCAGATACAAAAAAGTCAATGTTACACATTTAGGAAGTGATCAAATAAATGGCTGACTTCATGGATGGTCAGCATTATGTTAATCATCTGCAGGAAAAAATTTCAGTAACAGATATTAGGGTTTTTTCCCCCTTATCATTGCTACGCAGACCTGAAGTACTTCCATATCGTATGGCACTATTTCCATTTACCATGACAAAATTGCATGATCGTATACAAACTAAAGAATTCCTCCTGACAAAATACTTCAGGTGACAGTAGAAATATTGGCGTCAAACCACTAGAGTCTGGGTTTTTTGGATTCCAGATTACTTTGATGACCAGAGCTCACTCTGCATTGGATGGGATGGAGTTTGCTTAATCCAGCATGGCTCTGGCCTCTGTACTGAAATGGCTCAGAGGCCTATTTCTTTCCTGGTTCACTTTCTAAAAAAGTTCTCTATGACTTATTATTATTATTATTATTATTATTATTATTATTTTATTTTTTTTTTTTTACTTTTCCCTATTAGTGAATGAGAACAAACCATCAAGCATTACAATAATTTTGGAAGACCCCATCTTCTGGAACACAGCTCAACAACAATGAAAGTTAAAGGGGGAAAAAAATGCTGTCTCCAAAGCGGCTGGCTCTGAGCACAAGCACCGAAGTCCTTGCAGTTTTGCTTTATTCTCAAAGAGTAGTTAAAGGCCCTAGGTCGTTGTTTTGAGCTTGTTAATGCTTTCATTTACACACTCTTTATTTTTCAAAACCAACTTACAAGCTGATTTTTTTAGACCTTGCAGATCAGAAGAAATATATTAAAAGGGGAAGCTGAAAGGCTAGTGACAGGCATTCTCTGATAGCACTAGGGGGTGAGGGACAAGGGAGACTTAACAACAATAAAACCTAAATAAAAACACCCATATGGTGACGGAGAGCATCGGGGTTTCCTTCAGTCTCTGGAATCCCAACTTCCCCGTCTCCACCCACCCGAGGACCGTCCTTCATTTGTACTGCTTGGTTCCTAGCTTATCACTGTGGGGCTAAGCACAGACAAGAGAAGGAATACTTTTTCTAAAAACAAGCACACTTGACCCTTGAACAACATGGGTTTGAACGGCATGGGTCTGTTTCTATGAGGGTTTTTTTTTTTTATAAATACAGTACGGAACTAGTATTTTCTCTTCCTTGTGATTTTCATAACGTTTTCTTTTCTCCAGCTTACTTCATTGTCAGAATGCAGACTATAATACACGTAACATACAAAAATGTGCTAATTGACTGTTTATATTATGGGCAAGGCTTCCTGGGAACAGTAGGCGATTAGTGGTTAAGTTTGGGGGGAGTTAAAAGTCATATGCAGGTTATTTTTTTTTTTTTTACCTCACGGGGCGGGGGGGGGTCAGGGCTCTGGGCCCCCACGTTTAAGGGTCAACTGCTACTTCAGGGACTGTGGGCAAGATGGGGGGAGGGTGGAAGGAGGGAGGAAAGAGAGAGAGAGAGAGAGAGAGAAAAGGACAGGAGATGGGAAAGCAGCTGCCAAGATGCTAAGACTTCAGAGGGAAAGAGAGAAGGCAAGAGGGCCCTAAGGGGTCTCGTGGTGTGGTGGGAAAAACAATTCCCTGTCATATCCCATGCCCTCAAGACCACCTTCAGCAAAGAACCACTGGGCTCTTCAGTGCTCTCTGGTCTATTGAGTGTGACCTGTGCTGGCCCAGCTTTCAGATAGTTCAGTTCTGGTCAAGTAATAACAGCTCTGTACGATGATCCCCCCCAAACCATGAAATATCTCCAGTGCACTGTGAATAGGGAAGTAGGGAGAAATATAATGAATTTATGGAAGAGTTTCAGTAAATGGTGGGTTAAATTCTCTGACACTTAGTCATAGCTTTGGTTACATGGAAAATTCACATATGTGAGCACATCTCCAATGATATTAGATGAATTAGGTGTTACTGCATTTAAATTCCTAGAAATGTGGAGTTACAAAAGGTCCTTAAATAAACTTCTGGGTCCCCTATTTGGCATAATGAACTATATGGTGTTTGGAAAGATTTTCCCCTTCTGGCATAACTAAGGTCGGGATTGGCGTTATAACGGTCCTAGAAAAACAAACCTTCACATTCCAAAATTTTGACAAATTTTAGGTGAGCGCTCTAACAGCTGCGAAAAAGCAGCAAGTCAAAGTTTCCAGAGCCCCTCTCTCTCCTCCACTTGAAAAGACATGTAAATGTACTCAAATAAGGAAAAGTCCGGAAAGTTTACCAGATCCCGAGTCATTCTGAAAGAAGATCATTCAAATTTGTTATTGTCACAATTTTCACAATATGTCAACAAAAGGGATGAAATTCTAGTCCCAAGAAAGAGGAACAGACCACTTTAAAACATCCGAAAGGCTTTTCACAAGCACGATGAACTTCAGGAACGTGGTAGGAGGAGACTCTTTTGTACTCAAAGGATCAGAAGATTACTCCACAGGGTAAATGAGGCTAGCTAGTCCTGGCCTTGTAGGATCATGTGGAATCAGTTACAGTAACTTCCATTGATATCAGGCAGTTCATCCCAATTTCAAGATCAAATAAAGTCTCCTGAAACTGAATAGGCCAAAAATATGGAGATGATTCTCCCGGAAAATTAAAACCACCACAAACACTGCTAGCAATTTAGATATATTTGGGCTCTACATATCTTTGGAAAATGTTTGGCTCTAAATGTGCTTCCAGAATGCATTTTACTACCACCATGGATTACTCATGTGCATTTGTGATGCTCAGTGAAAAGAAGGTAACTTAGTCACCATTTAGAAAGTTCTTATAGTCTCAAGGAATGTTTAATCAGTCCCCAAGAGCACATGCCTTTGTAGGGCTTAGAAAGGGACAGAAGCTGTCAATCAACCTTTTTCTTGAGGAGGATGGGCTGCAGAAAAGCCCTGGGAAGGAGAGCCTTGCTGAAAGGAGCAATAATCCACACAGCTTCACTTCTTTAACCACAAAGCATCAGGTAAAGGGACAACCCGTTTTGAACTTCATCATAGGATCTAACTAAGATAAAGACCAGTCAGAATGATTAAATACCTAGGCAGTCAGCTCTGTAAATCGGGGAGAGATGTATTCATAGTTTCCACTTTCCAATGGTTGAAACATTGAAAAGCTATAATTCTCAGGATCAGATTTCCAGAAAGAAGGAAAAAAGGGATAAATTAATACTTATTGGATGCTTGTTATGTTGCAGGCACCAGGCAAGGTATTCTACTCCAAGTAACCAGGGGAGGTGATTACTGTTATTCCCATTTTACAGAAACATACATTCAAGTTCAGGGAAAGAAGCAAACTGCCCAAAGTCACACACAGCTGGTAAAGACGGAGGTCGGCTCTGAATTCCATCAGTTTTTCCCCTACATCTTTAAACTCACCTGAAGTGTCATAGACTTATTTCTTCTCATCCTGGATCATCAGACTAGGTATCCCTACTTTGTTCCAAAGTTGACCTTTACTTTGTCTTCAACGTCCTGCCTTCATGGGCCTGTGGCATGATTGCTGCTTCAACAAACAAGTTTCCTTCCACCCACATCTTCTGACTTCTGCACACACACATATGCTCAACTTCCCCATCCTAAAACCTCTTCCTTAACCCATCTTCTGCTTCTAAGTACTGTTCTATTTTTCTTTCTATTCATCACCCTACTTCATAAAACGAATATTCTATACTCCTGGCTTCTGCTCTACTTCTTATATCCTTCTGCAACTGGTCACTTTCCAGTTTATAATCTCTTATCTCACAGAAGCTGCTCTTAAAAAGGCCATTTATAACTGCATGATGTTCAAATCCAATGGCCTCTTCTTAGGCCTCATCCTTCTTGAATGCTTTGAGGATTTGGCCCATTCTCTACTCCTTGAAGCCTGGCTTCCCTGAAAACACTTTCCTAATTCTCTTCCAAAATCCGTTGTCTCTCTTTCTTTAATTTGCTCCTCTATTCAGCCCATTCCTTAAATACTGAAGTTCCTCATGTTACCATCCTCTGTTTTCTCTTCTTTCCATGGGCTTGTCCTCTCCAGTTCCTCCAATCTGTCCTGGGCTTCCATTGCCACCAGCATACCTATATGCCAAGCCACAAACCTCTCCTGAGCTCCATGACTGTCTTTTCCAATTGTCTCTGATATCTCCAGTTGGACGGCTCAGAGATTCCTCAACAAACCGTGTCCAAAACTAAACTCACTGAACCCCTCCTTTGCAGGCTAATCTTTTTCCTTTCCTGGTGAATGGTGTTATCATCTAGGTGGTGGGGACCTCAGAATCTTCCCTACCTGGACTCAAAGTCCTGATTTCTCTACATCCTACCTATCCTTTTGAACTAACTCCTGTTTCCCTCTTGTCCAGCCCCTGGAGCAGGTCACCTGGGTTAATGCAACAACCTCCCAAGTGATTTCTCTGACTCCATTATCTCGTCTTCTAATCCATCCTCCATATTGCCACCAAACTGCTCTTTGTAAAACAGGGTTATTCCTCTGTTTTAAATTTTCAGTGGCTCTATACAAACTGCAAACTAAGGCTTCAATGACCAACCAGCCCTAGCCTATCTTTCCAACCCGAGCTTTGAGAACTTGCTCTTACTTGTAACTATTATTTGTCCCTAAACTGCTTTCATTCTTCTGAGGCTTACTTAGGTTATGCTACTCATTTACCTAGAACGTTCTTCTTCCTTTGGCCCACCTTCATCATCCTTCAAGGCTCCCTCCATATATTATCTTTATCTTTCCCTCAAACACCCACTGCTGGTCTTGAAGGAAGAATTGTTCCCAAATCTGTGTTCCCACACCGCTTTTTACAGAACTAACCACAGAGCTTTACAGAATCATTTGCTGACTCACTGCCCCACCATGAATCCTTCAAAGGCAGAGACTGCATCATTCATCTTTGTAGCACTGGAGTCTAATTCAGTGCTTGGATCATAGTTGGATGCTCAATAAATCTGTGTTAAAAGAACAAATTAATAGACCTTTTCCTGTTTGTGGTATTCAATTAGGCTTTACTTCATTATGATAGGATTTGTGAAAACATGTCATATATCAAAGACTATAGAGCAGCTTTTAGTGACACATATGGAGCTTGCATTTCTATTAAAAAGAGCTTTAAATTCTGATAGCTATTAAAGAGTAATATATTGGGTACAATAAAAATAAACATAGCTGATGTTCTGTCAACATTATAACAATTTTCCTTAAAAAAACTTACTTCCTAAGCTAGATTTTCTATCATCCATCCATCCATCCATCCACTCCTTCATTCAAAAAAAGAATTTGAACTTAAATATTTTAGTTTATCTATCAACATTTTCTATTCGCCCATGTGTCTCAAGTCTTCCTATCTAATGCAGTTAGTCATTACTGCAGGAAAAAAACTACCAAAGTCCATTAAACTCATTTTAATTCTATATTATTTCTTGAAAGTAAACATTTCTTTTGATTAGAATCTGTCTTCTTACCAGAACTTTTTCAATCGAAAAGCTAATATAATATTTTGTGTCCTAATATTTTCCGAGATATATTAGGCACTACCTAACATAACACAAAGTAAATCCTGTATCTGAGTATATCATACTGCTGACATTTATCTTCTTATTCTGGAATGGCATTATCTTCCTGTCACAATGAATGGCCATGGGAACAAGCCAGTTTTAAGAGACACCAAGTGCCACACAATATGTACCTGTGCTAACACTAAAGATGTACCCAAAGTGTTCCCTTACTGCCCTTTGTGAAGGACAGAACATTTAACTGTAGGGTAGCTTCTCAGAGGATTCACTGTGCACAGCAGGCAGACTTACCCGGCGAGTTCTGGGGAGAGGACACAGGGGAACCACGTGGAGACTGACAGTAGCTGGGGTGAAGTAAGGCATGTGGAGGCACATAAGACATTATCTCTTCTTCAAATAAACTGGGGAAAGACAAGAAAGCAAGTGCATACTTTAGCCAAAAAGGGGGGGAAAAGCCTTGTTTCCACATGAGTAAGAGTTGATTTCTCACTCTGAGGTCTGGCTCACATCCCAAAGGGAGCACTTGTCCCCCTACTCCTGTAGGTCGTTCTTGGGGCAAACAGCTGTCTGTTGCAGCTCATGTGAAACCTATGGTTATGGGCCTCTTTTCCTACCAACTCTGGACAACGGGATTCCTATTTTGCCACTTTAATCTGTGAGTCTGAATTTACATGTTTGCTTGAACAATAGTACATGGGCTTTTAGATTTGAGAATAAGACTAACATGTAACACACAATGTTTATTGAGAACCCATAATGGAGACACAAAGTATGTTCTTTATCCTCAGTCTAAGACATATACGACAGAGTCTTAATATTCAAAGAGTTTAGGATTTAATTGGAGAATTAAAAGCAAAATAAAACAAAACACCTCCTACATAATTACAACTGCTAAATAATTAGCTCCCTTGTTTACTCTGGTTTATAATGTTTTTTTAAATGTGAGGTTTTTGATATTAGATTATTCAATCCAGTGTATTCTTTCTTCTCCATATTGAAGTTTCTTTTTCTAGGACTCTCCTAAAAGACAATAACCATGGACATGAGATCTTAGAATCTCAGACTTTTCATTAAATATTAGGATAGGAAAAAAAATATTAGGATAGGATAAAAGTACTATTGATTCCACTAAGCTCCTGACATTTGACAAATACTTGACAAAGTAGAATTAAAACAGCAATAAAAGTAAGAGGACTTGTGTCTTTTAATTAAGAGGAAGAAGCAGGTTTTCCTCAAACTTGGCCAAATCTAGAAACCTGTTACCTGTTTTCAGAAAAAAGTGGCAACAGTTTATTATTATAGAGATTAAGGAAAGGATTCTTAAGGTTTATCAACACCGTTTCTCAACTGAGGCAATTTTGCCCTCCTTCCACACCATTTGGAGGGAATGTCTGAGGATACTTTTAGTTGTCATAATTGGGAGAAGGTAGGTTTTTGGTATCTAGTGGGTAGAGCCAGGGTACTGATAAACATCTTACAATACACAGAATAGCTCCCTGAAACAAAGATGTATCCAGTCCAAAATGTCAATACTTTTGAAGCTGAGAAAACCCTGGGTTATAGCAATGCAATAACAACTTGATAATTCTTCTCTAGTTCTTTATTTACATGCACACATCTGCTAGACCACTGCAGCAAAAGATTTTTAGACATGATATTATTTTTTATTTTTTTATTTTTTATTTTTTTTAAAGATTCATTTATTTATTCATTCCGAGAGAGGGAAGAGAGAGGCAGAGACACAGGCAGAGGGAGAAGCAGGCTCCATGCAGGAAGCCCGATGTGGGACTCGATCCTGGGTCTCCAGGATCACACCCCAGGCTGCAGGCGGCGCTAAACCGCTGCGCCACCAGGGCTGCCCATGATAGTATTTTTTAAAGCTATCTTTCCACTTTTAAACTATTAAAGTAAAAAAGTGGGAATCCCTAGGTGGCTCAGTGGTTTAGCGCCTGCCTTTGGCTCAGGGCATGATCCTGGAGACCTGGGATCGAGTCCACATCAGGCTCCCTGCAAGGAGCCTGCTTCTCCCTCTGCCTGTGTCTCTGCCTCTCTCTCTCCTCTGTGTCTTTCATGAATAAATAAATAAAATCTTAAAAAAAAAAGTCAAAAAGTTTTAGAAGCATAAGTAGGAAATAATCATATTTATAATACCAAGTTAAGGTCTTTTTTTTTTTTTTCTTTTTTCTTTTGGCCCAGTCCCAAATGCTGCAGACAAGCCCACAGCCACCCGACTACGTACCGTTGGCTACTCGGCCCAAGTTAAGGTCTTAAGTCATTTTTTCTTTTTCAATAAATCAATAGCCACTGGAATAATGTGAATTTTAAATTAATTGCTAAGGAATAGTCTCATGTAATAGTTGATATCACAAAGATCTGCAAACCTATGGCTAAATTAACTGAAGAGTAGGAATTAGCACCCTTTCTTTAGATATCTACATCTGTGTCCCTTTGCTCCATGACATTTATCATTTCCTTTAAATATAACCAATACTCCGGAATCGTTCGTATCAAGAAAAATATTTTACTTGAAAAATTTAATACACAAAATGTAATATAAAATAAAACATTTGATTCGTATTATCCAGGATTAACAAATGTTAACACTACTATTTTTGCTTCAGACAAACATACATGCATACTTACACATCTTTATATATCTGCATGTACATGCATATATGTCTGTGTATGTGCATTGTGTATACAAGCCCCTTTGTTTTCCTCTGCCATGACTTTAATATGGTATCCTCCTCCCATAGTTTTATATTTTGCAATAAATATCCATAAATAAGCAATATACAGTTTTGCCTTATGCACTAAAAAAACTACATAGTGCTATGTAAGTATATAGCATTCTTAAACTGCTTAGTTCAATATATTTCTGACATCTATCCATGTTGACAGATAAGAATCTAGCATATTACTTTTCCTACTATGCAGTTGTCCATTCTATGAACAAATAAATTTCTTTATTTATCTCATTTGACAAATATTTAATTTTTTCCAACTTTGTGCTATTATCAACAATGGTGCAGTGAAGATACTGTATATACTCCCTTGGGCACATGCAAAAGAGTTCTTAGTATAAATATGGTATATATTTAAGAGCAGAATTTCTCAGGCGTAACACATATGCCTTTTCAACTATACAAGATATTGTCAAATTGTGTTCTGAAAAGGTTGTAGAAATTGCAATCCCAAGTCCAGACAGTATGAGAGTCCCTATTTCTCATTTGATATTATCAGACTTTCTGGCTTTTTCAAATCTAATGTATGAAATACTATCTCATTATTGGAAATTGCATTTTATGATTGCTAGCATCTTTCCCATAAGTTCACTGGCTATTCTTACTTCGATTTCTATGAAATGCCTTTTTTATACCCTTCATCTATTTTTCTTTTCAATTCTATTCTTCTAAATTGATTTAAAGACATTCTTTGTGTATTCATAATATCTTTGCTTTATACATTGTGAATATATTCTCCTACTAGTTTGTTAGCTTTCTTTATGCTTTTATATGTGGTGTCTTTCATTATATAAATTTTAAAATTCTAACATGGCCAAATGTATCAATCATTTCATATATAAGCTTTGATAGAGGTATATTTTTTATAGGAGTTGAGTTAATGGAATAATATATGAAATAGAATAATCAATAACAGCTGTAACAAAGTCATCTAAATGGCGGTTTTTGAAAATAATCTCACATAGGCTTATTTTGAACTGAATAATTTCCTACAGCTATGGCATCTCTATATTGCAGCTTGCTGATAATCAAATCCATTTGTACCAGGAATTATTTTCTTTTTTAAGAAATAGGGGTACCTAAGTGGCTCAGTCGGTTATGCTGATTTCACCTCAGGTCATGATCTCAGAGTCCTGGGATCAAGCCCCATGTCAAGCTCAATGTGAAGTCTGCTTGTTCCTCTTCCTCTGTTCTCCTCCTTCTCTCTCATAATTAAATAAAATCTTAAAAATAGACAAAGTATAAAAATAGACACAAAGTCTTTCGCTATGCATACAACTAGTCCATTGCTTGAGTTTATAGTCATTGATAACTCAAACTCCAAAGTAAAATACAAGTAAAATAAAAAATAAAGAACTGAGATCTCAAAATGTTTCCATAACTATTAAACATTATTTTTTAAGAGTTTATTTATTTATTCATGAGAGACAGAGACAAAGAGAGAGGCAGAGACAAAGGCAGAGGGAGAAGCAGGCTTCATGCAAGGATCCCAATGCAGGACTCGATCCTGGCACCCCGGGATTACACCCTGAGGCAAAGGAAGATGCTCAACCACTGGGCTACCCAGGCGTCCCTAAACATTATTTAGTAAGTATCCACATGTAATACATTGTGTCATCACAAAAAATTATGAAAATAAATACATTTGATCATCTAAATTAAGTAAGTCTAGAACTTAATGACATCATTTGCATGTAATAAATATAGAACTATCACATAATAAATGAATTTCTCATACTTCTCCAAAGGGCTATTAACTTCAGAGAACATGCTGTTTCCCCAAAAAGGAGAAAATGTAGCCTTGCTCTTTATGTGTGTGTGTGTGTGTGTATGTGTGTATACATGTGTATCTATACATACACATACATATACATACAGAAAACTGATATATATATTTTTAAATTCAAACACATAGAAACTCACGCAAAATGCAGTGTTTACCAAAGTACAAATATTCTAAGCTATACTGTAACTTAAAATATTTAGGGCTATACCATCTAAAGATTATTTAACTAAGAACAGGTGAATGATCATCATGATTTCTATTTTGTTTTCATTAATTCCCAAAGCAGAATTCTTTATTTTAAATGAAAAACCTAAGATTTCTAGAATGAAGCAAAAGAGTCATAGTCTAGCCAGAACTTTATAACAAAACTATTTTATTTCCAACCAAACTGTGGTAGAAACATTGTATTACATATTAATTGATCAAGAGTCTTCCTGACCGTGTAGCACACTATATTCTGTTTTCAGAACTAGCTTAGTACAATACAGTCATGGGTCACCCCTTAGACTGATAAGTGACCCCTCCCTCCCAACAGGTCTTGTTCAGAATCAAGTGAAGTGAAGTCTCTGTGGGAAGTGATTATATCTCTTTGAATTATGCTCCAACTATCCAGTAAAGGAAAATAATATTTTTACTTCAGTTTTACAAATATGGCAACTATCATGTAGGCAGCTAGAAATGGTTAGGGTCAAGATCATCATGAATATCATGAATGAAATTGTTAGCACTCTGGGATAAATAAAACATTGTGTGGTATGGTTCAGCCTGACTTTCCCTTTAATTCTTTCGAGGTTATGATGGTAAGTGTCCCAACTACTAGTAGAGCAAAGCATTATTTTATTCTAGCCTCCTACATTTAAGGGTTAATATTAAGAGTGAAAAATATTTCAAAAAATTGCTAGTTTCCTTTTCTAAACTACTCTAAAATTTAAAACCAGAGCTGACCTAATCAACAGAAAAGAAAATATAATTGGGTCATTTTTATGAAGGGCTATCAAGTTGACAATGAGTACCAGTGATCAAATTTCACCTTTCTGATCTAATTTCCCAAACCTAAGCTCTCAAAATCATTTAAAAAAAAAAAAAAAAAGTCAAATCAGGGGAAAAAAAAAAAGGCAAAGCACATTTGGAGGAAAAATTTGAAATAAAAAAATAAATAAATATGACCTCTATTCTACTCTAAAGAGGTAAGTAAGCCCTGTATGCCCTTGTATTCCATTCTGTGAGTGGGACATTCTATCCACTGGCCTTTACTAATAACCTTTTCCTTCTACAAAATCACCTCGTTTATCAACAGGGGAAAAAAAAAATCAAACAGATGTCAGAATAAGAAATGTAATCTGAAATGAATCATTACTAAACCAGCATCCTACAACTTCCACATCATAAGTATTCCACAAATCTTTAAAGAGTAATGGAGACATTTTCCGGCTACTAATATCAGAGTAGTGTTTTCTAAAGTGCTCCCTAAATCGGATGGCCGAAGACTTTCTACGTCAAAAGCGGGTGTTACATACCTCAGCAACATAACAAGGTCTGCATCACTTGAAAGACGCACCAATCCTGGGGTCCCTTCAGTTCGGATAAATTGGATCTTCTCCCTATTCAAGCAAAGAAACAGTTCAAAATTTACATGGTAGACCTTCTGAAACATGACTCAGTGCCTTAGGCACCATTTCAAAAATAATAGTGACAACATTTTTTTTTTTTGGTATCTACGATGGGGTAGCTAATGTTTAATATACCCAGGAACACATATCCAATAGAGACATGGTCCTTGCTTTCAAGGAGGACCCATGAGCATCAAAACTGCCCTGTCCTAACACTGGAGAAAGATTCCTTTATTGTTTTTATCATTTCACTGCTCAAGTTCTACTACAGGTGCTAGTACCATCCAACCAATATAACTCAGTCTCTGCTTTGAGTTAGAGCCTGTTGTGGGCTTGAATCTAAGCAACTGTTTAGGCCATTCAGGCTGATTCCCTGTTATTCCAAAAAGTGAATGTGTAGGGATATTCATCTATTTTCCTGGGGTTATACTTCTAAATTATGTGTGATGAGCACATTCCTACTTAGAGGCAGATAGTATTTAATCAATATATACTCAATAAAGAGGCATATGTCTCTTTGAAATAACTAAAAACCTGAAACACTTTTAGTTACTACAGTTAGTGGGATAGATTATGTGTATACCTGTGCAAATGTATATATTCTTCTACATACATATATCAAACCCAATTGTGAGGGATTTCTACCATTATTTTATTTATAGATATAAGTAAGAACATCAGGTTTTCTGTTTGATGAGCCATCATCATGCTGCTATTTTCAATTCTTTTTTTAAAAAATATTTTATTTATTTATTTATTCATGAGAATACACAGAGAGGAGAGAGAGAGAGAGGCAGAGACACAGGCAGAGGGAGAAGCAGGCTCCATGCAGGGAGCCCGATGTGGAACTCGATCCCGGGACTCCAGGATCACGCCCTGGGCTATTGGCAGCGCTAAACCGCTGAGCCACCGGGGTTGCCCCGCTATTTTCAATTCTTTATATGAAAACAATTTTAACAAAAATTTCCCTGTTACTTCCCCTCATTTACATGATACTATTTCAAAGCATAGTATATTAACTTCTATAAGACAAGAAAAAAAAATAAGAACATAAACTATGGTACTGAAAGCATTTCATTTGATAGTAACATAGGAATAAACACAACTATGCAATTTTACTCAAAGTGCTAATGATAGCATAGTCTGATTTTTGTACAATATGAAATAAAATATTGATCTTTGATATAAGTATTTATTTAGATTTAGTTCCTCTTTATAGATGATCTTGTTTTTCTGCTTGATATTTTCCCTAAACCTCTACTGCATTTTAGATTTCCAAATTCCAAATTTCTTCTTAATTATTTGCAAGCCTGAAGACAATGAGGTGAAAGGCAAGGTTTAACTGTTGAAATGGAAAACCCACAATGTACAGAGAAGTCCACTGATTTGCTCTCAACCACATAGCTTACAAGGACTGATAAAGAATTTGGCTGCTTCTGGCTAGATCCATTTTAAACAATATATTAGTATATGAAACATCTTATCTTTGGCATTGCCAAATTTTCTTTTCCAACCTTTGAGTTACACATACATATACCTAAGAAGTGAATGTCAGACACATATATAAAGAAATTGTTCAGAAGGGAAAAGCCAGCCTTTCTGCTTTGTTATTTCAGTTTGGAGGCTTGAACCAAGCAGAACATTTTCCCTCAAGTGCTACAATCACATGTCTGAAGCACATGACGAAAACCAAGGCCCATTATCTGGTGAATGATTTTTTTGGTACAAGATATGAAAGTTGGTTTTAAAAAGCTACATTAAAGAGAAATCATCGTGGAGAAAAAAAAAGAATAATAACCAAAGAAATACTCTTATAAGGGTCAGTAATAACATGCTTTGATCTTGAAGAATCAAAAGCTATCTGCAACAAACACAGTTTATCTCCTTGCCCTATCATCACAATGAATCAGGCAAACAGAATACACGGGAAAACAAACAGGGTGCACGCTCTCCTACACTTCTTCAGCTGGAGCTAGACAGAATGAGGGTGGTGATGTAAAAGATACCACGCACTGGACTACGGTCTGTATGCTTCCTGGGAATAAGGAAAAGATAGCTTCCTGAGTCACAAGGATGACAGGGTAGGAGGATGGGGTGACTTGGTGACGGGCACTGATTGGGGTACTTGATGGGATGAGCACTGGGTGTTATGCTATATGTTGGCAAATTGAACTTCAATTTAAAAATTTACAAAAAAAAAAAAAAAAAAGAAAGAAAGAAAGAAAAAAAACCCAAGGATGACAGGGTGAAGACAAGGAAAGACAGCAGAGGAAATATGCCAAGTGAGGAACTTTTCAACCCTTTCCAGATATTAACTATTAGGCAGGGAGAGCAACTGGTCTCATTCTTTAGGCCAGAACATACCATACGCCAGAGGAATCTAGTTTTCACCAGGCCAGCTCATTTATGGCACTGACAAGCTATGGGTCAGCCACTGGAGCATGTCCCCAGATGCACACCATACCACTCAGTATCTTTTTAGGCTAACATTCATTCCTTCTTTCAGCAAACATTCTCTTGGTGTCTAGATTGTGCTGGGCACCATACCCCATACTGGGAATCCAACAGGGTGGAAGACCTAGTTCCTTTCTCAAAGAGTTCATGGTGCAGTGGAAAAGAGATAGTCTATTCTAGTATCATATGAAAATACTGAAGTTGTCCCACTTGCTTAACTAATTCTGGTTAGGGCTTCTAGCCACTCCTATTCCACAGAGTCCTTTCTTTTTTTTTTTTAATAAATTTATTTTTTATTGGTGTTCAATTAACCAACATACAGAATAACACCCAGTGCTCATCCCGTCAAGTGCCCCCCTCAGTGCATGTCACCCATTCGCCCCCACCCTCCTCCCCTTCCACCACCCCTAGTTCGTTTCCCAGAGTTAGGAGTCTTTATGTTCTGTCTCCCTTTCTGATATTTCCTACCCATTTCTTCTCCCTTCCCTTGTATTCCCTTTCACTATTATTTATATTCCCCAAATGAATGAGAACACACACTGTTTGTCCTTCTCCGATTGACTTACTTCACTCAGCATAATACCCTCCAGTTCCATCCACGTTGAAGCAAATGGTGGGTATTTGTTGTTTCTAATGGCTGAGGAATATTCCATTGTATACATAAACCACATCTTCTTTATCCATTCATCTTTCAATGGACACTGAGGCTCCTTCCACAGATTGGCTATTGTGGACATTGGTGCTATAAACATCGGGTACAGGTGTCCTGGCGTTTCATTGCATCTGTATCTTTGGGGTAAATCCCCAACAGTGTAATTGCTGGGTCTATTTTTAACTCTTTGAGGAACCTCCACAGAGTTTTCCAGAGTGGCTGCACCAGTTCACATTCCCACCAACAGTGCAAGAGGGTTCCCTTTTCTCCGCATCCTCTCCAACATTTGTGGTTTCCTGTCTTGTTAATTTTCCCCATTCTCACTGGTGTGAGGTGGTATCTCATTGTGGTTTTGATTTGTATTTCCCTGATGGCAAGTGATGCAGAGCATTTTCTCATGTGCGTGTTGGACATGTCTATGTCTTCCTCTGTGAGATTTCTCTTCATGTCTTTTGCCCATTTCATGATTGGATTGTTTGTTTCTTTGGTATTGAGTTTAATAAGTTCTTTATAGATCTTGGAAACTAACCCTTTATCTAATACGTCATTTGGAAATATCTTCTCCCATTCTGTAGGTTGTCTTTTAGTTTTGTTGACTGTATCCTTTGCTGTGCAAAAGCTTCTTATCTTGATGAAGTCCCAATAGTTCATTTTTGCTTTTGTTTCTTTTGCCTTCCTGAATGTATCTTGCAAGAAGTTACTGTGGCCGAATTCAAAAAGGGTGTTGCCTGTGTTCTCCTCTAGGATTTTGATGAAATCTTGTCTCACATTTAGATCTTTCATCCATTTTGAGTTTATCTTTGTGTATGGTGCAAGAGAGTGGTCTAGTTTCATTCTTCTGCATGTGGATGTCCAATTTTCCCAGCACCATTTATTGAAGAGACTGTCTTTCTTCCAGTGGATAGTCTTTCCTCCTTTATCGAATATTAGTTGACCATAAAGTTCAGGGTCCACTTCTGGGTTCTCTATTCTGTTCCATTGATCTATGTGTCTGTTTTTGTGCCAGGACCACACTGTCTTGATGACCACAGCTTTGTAGTCCAACCTGAAATCTGGCATTGTGATGCCCCCAGCTATGGTTTTCTTTTTTAAAATTCCCCTGGCTATTGGGGGTCTTTTCTGATTCCACACAAATCTTAAAATAATTTGTTCTAACTCTCTGAAGAAAGTCCATGCTATTTTGATAGGGATTGCATTAAATGTGTAAATTACCCTGGGTAACATTGACATTTTCACAATATTAATTCTGCCAATCCATGAGCATGGAATATTTTTCCATCTCTTTGTGTCTTCCTCAATTTCCTTCAGAAGTGTTCTATAGTTTTTAGGGTATAGATCCTTTACCTCTTTGGTTAGGTTTATTCCTAGGTATCTTATGCTTTTGGGTGCAATTGTAAATGGGATTGACTCCTTAATTTCTCTTTCTTCAGTCTCATTGTTAGTGTATAGAAATGCCACTGATTTCTGGGCATTGATTTTGTATCCTGCCACGCTACCAAATTGCTGTATGAGTTCTAGCAATCTTGGGGTGGAGGCTTTTGGGTTTTCTATGTAGAGTATCATGTCATTGGCGAAGAGGGAGAGTTTGACTTATCTTTGCCAATTTGAATGCCTTTAATGTCTTTTTGTTGTCTGATTGCTGAGGCTAGGACTTCCAGTACTATGTTGAATAGCAGTGGTGAGAGTGGGCATCCCTGTCGTGTTCCTGATCTTAGGGGAAAGGCTCCCAGTGCTTCCCCATTGAGAATGATATCTGCTGTGGGCTTTTCGTAGATGGCTTTTAAGATGTTGAGGAAGGTTCCCTCTATCCCTACGCTCTGAAGAATTTTGATCAGGAATGGATGCTGTATTTTGTCAAATGCTTTCTCTGCATCTAATGAGAGGA